GCGGCCAGTCCGACGGTGGCGGCTTGCCCCGACCCCCAACAATGTCACCGACTATTTCCAAGAACCCCGACCACGATTCCGGCTATGCCGAAGCCGCACCGCCTCCAGGTGCCATGCAATCACCTCCTGCAATGCAGCGCATGTCCAGATCTGCTGGCAAGGGATCTGGCGCGATGGTTTACGGCATCGTAATGTACGACTTTGTTGCAGAGCGCGCCGACGAACTGGAAGCCAAGGCTGGTGAAGCCATCATCGTCATCGCGCAATCCAACCCCGAGTGGTTCGTTGCAAAGCCTATCGGTCGACTTGGTGGGCCAGGTCTTATCCCCGTGTCATTTGTCGAAATTCGCGACATGGCAACCGACAGCGCTGTTGGCAATGCTTCAGACGCTATCAAGAAGGCGGGTATCCCCAAGGTTGAGGAATGGAAGAAGATGGCTGCCGACTACAAGAACAGCAGCATTACGCTGGGCAAGTTCGATGTCGGTGGTGCGCCACAGCAAGGTTCTCTGGAGCAAGGCATGGAGCGCATGAGCATCCAGCAAGGCCAACGTCGTGGCTCCCAGCAGACCGGTAACAGTTTCGTAAGTCAAACCCACCCCATTCTCATTCGTATCAAACTGACTTGTCGTGCAGCCGCAGCAACAACAGGCGAATTACCAACAATCGCGAACTTCCCAACAGGCGGCATCGCAGCCGACTACCCCCTACACCAAATCCGCCGACCAGCTGTATGCCCCGATCTCAGCCCGCATCCCCAGATATTGCTTTGCCGAGGACAAGTATTGGTTTGTCATCGAGGCTGTGCTGGAGGATGGCCGTCACTGGGAGCTCTCTCGATACTACGAGGACTTTTACGACTTCCAAATCGCGCTCCTCACCGAGTTTCCCGCAGAGGCAGGCAACACGGGAACGCAAAAGCGCACCTTGCCGTACATGCCGGGGCCCGTCAACTACGTTACTGATGCTATTACCGAGGGTCGCCTACACAATCTGGACGCCTACGTTAAGAACCTCCTCGCACAACCTGCGTATATCGCCAGGTGCCCCCTCGTCAGACAGTTTTTTGCTCCTAGAGAGGGCGACTACGAAATCGACCCCAACGCACCGAACGAAGATGAGTACAGACTATCGGGCGGCTCTCAGCCATCGTCAACGGATTCGCCGGCGGACGGTGCGTCGCGACAATCGTCGAGGAATAACCTGAACGGAAACGGCTACGCGGGGCTTTCCGCAGCGCCACAGCAAAGATCTATGGGCCAGCCAGGCATGACTCGGCAGCCATCATCGCTGTCCCAATCCCAGCCATCTGTCTCACCTGGTATTGCCCAAGCCCAGGCCATGAAGATTAAGCTTTACTTCAACGGTGACCTCATCGCCATCCGAGTGCCGAACGACATCTCGTTCCAGCAGCTCTACGACAAGATCTCAGACAGACTGAAGATTCCTGTCGGAGAAGAGATCCAACTCTTTTACAAGGACGATCGGACTGGAGAAAAGCCGAATCTCATGAGCGACAACGATCTTGACACTGCTCTGGACCGTAACGACAAGCTCTTGCTATACGTTGAGCAAGTATGATTCAGGCGCACGCGAGCTTGTGGTCCCCAATGGTTTCTGCGACTGTCTACGAAGAAAAGCATATTCCCGACCGCCATTGCATTCTTGTTTCATGATTCCCAGCGCACGCGACGCATTGCCACACTCTGTCTTGTTATACAGGTGATGGCCGAATTTCACTTCTATATTGTTTTCTCTTAGTAGCTGGACTTGATATACATGCGACCATGATGCCAGTGGATCGACTTTCCTTCACGCGCCAGCGACTACCTTTCTTTTCTTTTACGCTTCTTTGGCCTCGGCAGGTCCCCTATTAACGATTTTCCTCGACTGATGTTGATGTTGATGACGGGAAAACAAAAAGAATTATTGATGCGGCCCCCGGGGGTCCATATGTCCAAGAGTTTCTCAAAAGACGAAAGACGGAATTGCTTCCATCATGAGGATATGGGAAATGGGGACATTGGCGGGCGTTATATTTGGGCAAACGGCAGACTTGACTTGCCATATTTCTTCCATTTTTATCGACACGGGAGTTTGCTAAGGGCCCTTTCTCTGGTCCCTCACGCGCTGCGTCACAGGATGAGGGCCAGAGGATAGAAGGGCTCTTTTGATGATGAGTGGATGATGCGGATGAGCCAGAAAGTCAGTGGATGATAGTGCAACACCAGTACTTGAGCGAGAAAGAGAAAAAGATCAACCAGTTCAACATTTTTTCGACCACGAAATGTGACGAAGTGTATGCATGTGTGCAATAAAATGACCAGTCTTTCAAGTCTGACGAGTAATGAGCGCCATCGAGAGAACATCTCATCTTGGTGTTTCAAAGCAGACAGAGGAATACACAGTGAACGTAACAAAATCTTCATTATAAGGCTACATACAGGGTGGCGAATAAAAGCTCCCTTCGTGCGCCGTGCCGCGCCCTGCTCCTGATCTCATGCATTCCTCATGATTTCTGCGAAATAAACCTGCGCTTGGCGGTGAGAGAAGAAGCAGCCGGCCTCCTTTTTTCGATGGGTTGGGAAAGTCCGCAAGCTTGTTCAAGAGCACGTGAGTTTGCTCCCGTAGAAAGTAAAAGTACTTCAGACGATCCGAGGTCGCCAGTATTGATAATCACAAAGTTGGGTATTTCATTCGTTTCTCTCCTCTCCTCCTTTCCTCCTCTCTCATGGAAGCTGGCTGTAATCAAGCTCCCGTGCTTCACTCAAATCCTCAAATCAAACCACTACGTGGGTAGACATGTGCTCCACGGCCTCCTTAATCGTCCGAAGCATCCTCTGGTTCACGCAGAACGGACACCGCAGGGGCCGCTCGTTCGCCGAGACAGGATCGTCATTCTTAATTGGCGTCAGGTTGAGCTCGGGCGTCGATGGGACGAATCGCGAGGCCGTGGAGGCGGCCCGCTGGATGGCGGGCGTCGCCAGCGCAGCAGCGGCCGTCCCCTGGGCGCGTTCACGCTGCTCGCGCTCCTCTCGTGCCGCGGCCGCGTTGGCTTCTGCTTCCGCCTCCTCCTGCTGCAGCTGGCGCAGCGCGTTCTGCAGCACAATGTCGGGGTCCTCGTCGCCGTACATGGGCGTGTCGCTTCCGGGGGGTGCGACCATGCTCGCGTCCGCGCTGTGTGGGTCCGGAGGCGGGACGGCTGCTGCTGCTGCCGCTGCCGTGGTTGGGGACAACGGGCCTGTTGAGGATGCGTTGCTGATTCTGCGGAGGACCTCGTCGCGGACGAGGGCACATGTCTGCAGGCTTGCCTCGACACCCAGAGCACGCATGACGGACTCGCGAATGGCGGCGGGGCTGGTCTCGGCGGAGAGCGCCATCAGTCGCGGTACGCAGTCGGCGAGGTATCCGATGTCGTCGGCAGGGTTCATCCCGCCCTCGCCATGACGTCTCTGCCGCCTAATAAGCAGTCCGTACCGCTTCTTGAACCTGTGAATCCAGCCGGGGGAGAACTCGGGCGGGGTCTCGTCCTTGTAGCGTGGCAAAGCCGTGAAGATGGCTTTGGCCTTCTCCCCGAGCTCCTCGTTCGTCGGATGGCGTCCCGTGGCCTGGACCTGCTGGTACCACCTAAGCACGAGCTTCTCGACATCAGGCCAGTTGCCAAAGCGCAGTCGCGACCCGCTAAGTTGTGGGTTGTCGCCATCAAGACGCGAATACTTTGGGCTGAGGGAGTGGGACACGGTAGACTGAGAAATGTGTTGGCCGTACTGGTTGTAGAACCAGTCTATACAGGCCTTGTGGCTGGGCCGGATGGTCTGCGCGTTGGCCCAGCGGCGGAGGGCGCGGCGTTGGTCGAGGGTGAGGGAATGGCGCTCTTTCGGGGTGGATACGGGGGAGTCAACGCCATCGGGGCCAGGACCGCCAAGGGCGCTGGCATCGGGATCGGAGGAGTGGAGGTCGTGGGCAGCATCGTGCTGCGCGTCGTGCCCATTGTGTGGGTGAGGGTCGTGGTCGGCCATTGCGACTGCGGCGGCGGACATGAGTGGCTCGGATCACGTCGCGCGCGCGAGGGCGGCGGCGACGACAATAACGACGACGAGAGGGGAGTCAAGGGCGGTCTTCGATTGGGGGTCGGTGGTATTCCTGGAAAGAAAGTCGGCTTGCCAGGCGCGATGCGCGCTGCTGGCGGCGGGGTGGCAGAGGCGGGAGGGCGGGATGTGATAAGGCAGAGTCGGTGCCCTTTTTTTTGTGATTCAATTGAAGAAATCGTTGTATCCGTAGTGAGGTTTTGGTTGGTGTGGAGGTTGTGACGGTTAAGGAGGAGGTGAGGAAGCGTCGAAAGTGAAAACTTGGTGGGTGGACGGGGGACCAAGGGGACTTAGCACCCGGAGAGAAGCGAGGCCGTGGCAGTCAGGGGCCAGGCACGGCGCAGCGCACTGTACGAAGCTCGCTGGCCAAGGTTGCATGTCGTGTCGTTATGCATCCAATGGGGAGCTGCGAAATCGCCAAAGGGGTGGCTGGCCCAAGCTCCCACCAGCAGGCCTTGTTGCATTACCCGGTGCATAACTGTACTGCTGCTGTTTCAAATGCCGTCTTCACCCGCCAAACCTGGTGCTGGTGCTACTGCTGCTGCTGCTCTATCTGTATTTGCCAGCCAATTTGCAGCAATCGGGCCACCATCGAATCTTTACCAACTCGATGTCAGCCAGGACTTGACTCGGCTGCAAGCATTCGAGGCAAACAAGTAGTTGCAATAAGCCAAGTCATCTATCTTTGTGTGCTTGCTATTATTCTCGTTGTTTGCCCACCCGCAATGCTTTCTATTCAAAGGACAATCGTCATCTCTCCTCACCCGCATATTTTCATGCTCATCGCGGCTCATTGTGTCGCATCCATTAATGCAAATCCCAACACCCCTCCAAATGCCGACCCAAAAAAAAAACAATCAGACCAAACCGTCAAACATCCCCCGGGAACGCAACGCATAGGCCTCTCTTCTCTCACACAGACATCTTCATGGCAATCGTCTTATGCGGGTCGTAGCCCTTGACCACAAAGTCCTCCACCTTCCACCTATCAATGCTGCAACCCGCCTCCCTGTTGTTGATCTCCAGCATCGGGAAGTCCCGCGGCTCCCGCTCCAGCTGCACCTTGAGCGCGTCCACGTGGTCCGCGTAAACGTGCGCGTCGCCCATGACGTGCGTGAGGCTGCCAGGAACCAGGTCGCACGCGCGCGCAATCATGTGTGTCAGCAGCGCGTAGCTCGCAATGTTGAACGGCACGCCGAGCCCCATATCGCAGGAGCGCTGGTACAGTTGGCAGTGCAGGTGTCCCTTGGGCTTCTCGTCCGTCGACGGCGCCGCGCCGCGCGCCCTCGGGTACGAGACGTAGAACTGGGCAAACATGTGGCACGGCGGCAGGGCCATCTTCTTCAGGTCCGCGGGGTTCCACGCGCTGAGCAGGATGCGGCGGTCGTAGGGGTTCGTCTTGAGCTTGTGGATAACCTCGGCGAGCTGGTCGACGCCCTGGCCTGTGTAGTCTGTCTTTGCGTCGACGTATTCCGCGCCAAAGTGTCGCCATTGGAAGCCATAGACGGGGCCGAGATCGCCGACTTCGCGGTGGGAGAGGCCGACGCTGTCGAGGAACTCACGGGACCCGTTGCCGTCCCAAATCTTGACGCCGGCCTCACTGAGGGCCAGGGACGACGTGTTGCCCTCGACGAACCAGAGGAGCTCGGCAATGACGGCGCGGAGGAAGACGCGTTTTGTGGTCAGGAGGGGCAGGAGGGGCTCACCGTCCTTGTTGAGGGAGAACTTGAGCGGCGTCGGGGCGAAGATGGAGTAGGTTCCGGTGCCGGTTCTGAGTTTCTCGTCAGTGACTGTGCATTGCTAGTGGTTATGCGATGGCTTCGGACCTGTCTGGTCGGTGCTCCCCCGTCTCGAGGATCTCGCGGACGAGGTCGAGATACTGGTACTCCTCGTGGCGCTTGGCCGGGCTGCCGCCGTTCTGCTTTGTTGGGTTCTCGGGAGCGGACATGTTGGCGGATTCGACTGCAGTGGGAGCCATTGTGATGTGTGTTCGTCTCTTACTGAACCTGGGAGATGGTGGTGGGATACGTCGGATCGCTCTGAATGGAATGCTCAATCCAAAGACGCGTCCAGACGCGTCGAAAGTTTAAGTGCATGCGCTAGTGGTGGGGGTTGATGACTCAGCTCAGCCTCCGATAAGATAAGAAGCGCCTCAAGGTTCTGGCCTGCACCGGAACCAAGCGAGGCAAGTGGCGTCTCTCATGCGCTGGAGCTTGTTCCGTCTCTGCTGAAGTCCCGGCCAATAGCGGCTCAAGAAGACTCAGCCCAGAGCTGAGCTTTGTTTCAACGCATCTCATGAATGAGATATCGTCGGATCTTTTTTTCAATTCGGTCCCTTTTCTCCTGTGCTCAGACGTAGGCCTCTGGTTCCACATTGATGAAATGGTGGCGATGCGTCCTCAATGTCTTCTTCTGTCTCTTCCCCCTCATGCACTTAGTTTCTTAATCATTCCGTTTGGGTGATGCTTCATATTGGGAAACATGGAGTTGCTCAATTCCTCTGGATGACACCAAATCTTGAATTGAAAGCTGTCGGTTTTACATTCAACTCAAGAGCCGGTCTCTGAGGCGCGAGTGCGCGTTTCTCGGTGCTCACTGCCAACGTCATCGATCCCGGGGGCCTCGTCGACTTTGTTTCTCGTCTTTTCCACCCTCTCTTTCTACTATTCATGCTGCCATATCTTCTTATTATACAACATTACGTCTCTAAGAAGCTCTAAGACGCAAAACCCCTATTCTTTCTTCAACCACACAGAGACATGAGATCTGCCCAACCCACAGCCCCAGTTGACGATGAACATCACAATCACCGTCCCCGCGGGAACCGTCAACCACGGTGACCCCCGCCTCCTCTGCACTCCCCCAATCTGGAGCGATTTCATCATCTTCTATGCAACGAATTACTTTGTTCACGCCCTCACCCTCCCCAGCCGGCCCGGAGAATCCGTCCTCGAGACCTGCTTCACCGTCATCACGGCCCTCTTTCTCCCGAGCACCGGTTCCCTGCGCGCCGCCCGCTGGCTGCTCTCTCACGCCGGGACCGTCAGACGCGATGAACTCAGCCGGGCCACGCGGGCGGGCGCTCTTTGCATGGTCGTCGACGAAACAGAACGCTCCAAAGTCTCCTGGATTGAGCGGTCGTTGAGGAGGATGAGATTCAATAGGGCTTCCCGAAGCTGGTTAGTATGAACCATAAGAGAAAGCAGGAGGGGAAACCCGCATAAAACTCAAAAAAAAGGATTCAAGTTTTCTTTCATCTAACTTTACAATGCATAGGTACGATACCGATACTTCCGCGCCGCCCTGGTATCGGTCTCGCTTCCGCGGGGCTGGTCGTTGGGTTCACTCTTCCCGCACCATCCACGGGACCTGCGTGCTGCCCAAGGGATTCATTCTGGTCGAGGTGCCTGTTGGAACGCCGCTGAAGCCGCCGCCGGATTCGACGGCCAACCACCTCGACCGTTCGAATATTCAGCTAGGCAGTACTTACAACATCCCCAAGGCCCTCTTCGCCCTGGGACAGGCGATATGGGGTATCACCACGGTATACCGGACTCGCGGTGATCAGCTGCAGAGGTATGGCTACGCTGCCTTTGGTGTCACCGTGGCGCCCTACGCCTTCATGTCTCTGGTCAACCTGATAGCCCTGCTCCTCACCCCCGAGTATAACTGCATCTACTTGGTACACACACCGGACCTCGACAGGGCAAGGAGACAGGGCGGCAGGTTCTCTGGCCTTGTAGCCAGCGTCGACCTTGACAGCATCAAGGAGCCCCTGAGAACATTTTGGCCGTCCCAAGCAGCCCACGCCTCATATTTCGCTGTCACGACAGTTCTCTTACTGGCGCCGCTCGTCATCGTCGCCGCGCTCACCGGCTTCGACCCGGGCCAAAGCACGATTTACCAAAGAGTTTGGGTCCTTTCGTGGCTGGGATTCGGCATCGTCATGGGGCCCCTGATCAGACTCAGCACTATATTTCCGTCCGAGATACACGGCGTATACAAGATTGGCGCGAACGATGCGATAGCGTATGCACTTGAGAACGCGACATTCATGGAGCGAGCGATAGACTGGTTGGTGACCAAGTACTTTTGGGTGGTAGAGACATCGTTCTATCTGTACGTGGTCATTGGCGCCGGCATTCTCTTCACCCCAGCCATCGGTGGCATGGTTGTTGTTGGGCAGATGCTGGAGGAATTTGGGTTCTGTAGACGTCTTGATCGCTGAAGACCACATCGTTTCATTGCATAAACTCAGATTATTTGTAGATATGGTTATAGACATTCTATAATGTCAAATTTGTTCAACGTCTTTTTCTGCTCCGGTTTGTCAGCTATAATTCTCAATAGACGATGTCTCCATTTGGAAGTAAGGAATTTGCCTTATGGGCAGACCATGGCGTCAAGGGCGACACAGACCGCAAGGATAATACGGACAAACATAGCATTATACCACGCCTACTCAACCAGAAAATCCCTCTAAATAGAGTGAATCATAAGTAGAGCCTTCGATGAGTCAACTTTATCACACGCCCACCATCCTCCACACAGTCGCCAATCACAAGATCATGCTTGTCACCGCTCATCTCAGCATCTCCAAATCTGACCCTCAAACCTCCCAACAGCCTGGACCGTTCTTCGTCCGTGAATGCTCCCCCGCCTGCAGGTACACCGAAATTGGGATTCCCTCTAGTTAGGGTACTGATGTTCAAAAGCAGTTTGGGTACCCAGACCCCAAAGTCTATCAACAGACCGGCAATGGCCGCGGTAAACAAGACAACAACAGATATGATAAGTATCACCATCCACGTGATATCATATCGAAGAACCGTGATCGGCGTGAAAATAGTTGCGTTCGTCGAGGTAAAGTTGGTCGCGTGAACCGTGTTGCGATAGCTCAGCATATCGTAGTTTTCCGGATGCCCCAAGACAAGGGGCTCGTTTCCTATGGTGGCTAGCCAGTAGGTATTGAGAAGCTGCGCCATTCGAATCTCAAAATTCTCTCTCCCGGCATGGATCGCCCGCGGGAAGTCGAAGACCGCCGTCGCATTGAGCCCCTTCTCCGGATCAACTATGTACGTCTGGATAATCGACGGGCTCTTCTGCCGGTTGGTAGGATCCGTGAGGCTTTTGAACAGGTTCTGGAAGTACAAGCTGGCAAGTTCGTTTCCGCTCTGGCAGCTGTCGAAGAATGTGAAGTTGGCGCTTGGGTTCCTGGGCGAGACCGACGATCGTATCGCCGTGGGGATGCAATCGTAGCCGTCGCAGGCGATTTGAGTCTCGACGTACGTAGAGTTAATCTTGCACTTGGCATATGTTGGCTCGTCTTTTGCCGGTGACCAGTCGAAGTAATGAAAGTCGCGCGCCGACGCGGTCGGATCAATGCAGCGTCGACGAGTGCCGTTTGTTCTACCGTCGGGGTACGGCTTTGTCGACATGCCTCCCCATGAGGTGAGTGTGCTGCAGTTGAACGTTTTCCCATTGATGGGTATTGTGCAGTCCAGTCCTCCGTTGACCACTAGTTCGCTGGCATGTTCAGTCTCTTCGAAGATGGGACAGTCCATCTTGAGATACGAAGTTTCCAGGTTGAAGCTGGTCCTGCCTGTTCGCGAGATATTGCCGAAGGGAATGCCGATAAGTGACGACCAGGTTATCGAGGCCCTGTCTTCATCGTTCAAGGCGATCCACTCGTCTGCCTTCGTGCTATTACGGCCAAGCAAGGGCTCAATCATGGGGATCTTGACATTGCCAGAGGTGTCTTGGCTGGACTGTCTGACCTCCTCAGATGCCCCAAGAGCGCTGTAGACGAGAGAATTGATCGGGAGCTGCGCGTTTCCTATGTTGCTGCCAATGTATTGCGCTGGGAACGAAGTGTTGACATCCAGATATGGGAGTTCGGCAAAAGAGACGACGGCTTCGGGCTTCTTGAGTAAAACTCGAAGAGCGGCCTGGCCTCCCAAAGGTGAAAACGCCCAGATGAGCACCAACACGATGCTCGACCATCTGACCCTCTTCATGTCAATCATTGTCGTCACGGTCCCAGTCATTGTCGTAGAACCAAGAAGACTGTCCAAGAAACCAACACGCTCCCCTCGCTGCAGCCTCCAGTGAGCGAAGCTTCTGATGGTCCGGCCTAGAACGAAGGCGAACATTAATGGTACAATAGTGGGAGCCTATCCATATTAGTCCGATGTCATGTGGTGCAAATATGCTCAGATGGACCTTACAAGCTGGTTGAACTCGAGTGTAAACCGCCACATGGCCGGCGAGTCTTGGATTTCGAGGCCGTTAAGACGGAAGAGCAGACCAACGTAAACCGCGACAACGACAGCCATCAGAATCGAAACACTGTTCATAAATATCTCCAAGTGTCGGGACGTTCCGTTCTCAAGCCTTCGTGGAGGCCATTGTAGCAACTTCGACCCGTTGTCGGATTTGGAGGTTTCCCGGGTGGCCATCTCGGGTTTTGTTGGTACATTCTGGTCCCTTTGAGGAGACGCCATCATTGCTGAAGGGTAACAGCAATTGGGGCTTTCAGCATGGAGACTGAATCAGAATTGATTAACTTTAAATCCAAGCTAGTTTCGAGGGAAACCATTGCACATATATGGCAATTGTAGCCCCCATCACAATGCCTGTATACGCGCCGCAGAACGACCTCTTGGCAGACCCCATGTTGCTGTACAGCAGAATCTCCCCCAAAAGGCAAGGGTTGATTGACCACTGGCGATGCAGCTGAGCTTGACAGTGCCATTCGAACCAACAGGAACTGTGTGGTAGATCGTCAAGTTTTGTGGACTCATGGCAGCACCCGCTCATCGTTTAATCAGCACTCATTTGCGTTTGCCCTTGCCGAAACCCCTGCAAATGCGGGATTTTTGGGTTTCAGCTACACCACCACCCTAAACGTTAATTAGTATTATCTTTTTATTATTTTCTATTATTTCTGCTATTATTAATTAATTATAGATAATATAT